GCCTACAACATTTCCGCCTCCATCGGAAATGCAGCCGCCACAGCCGCGATTTGATCCCGCGACCTGTGAGTCAGGCTCCTGGAGTTGTACAGCAAATCCTGGCAATATTGAACGCTCCCGACAAGCTGGAAGACAAGTCGCCTAGTTGCACTTCTGAAGCCAGGCAAGTCACTGTTGGAGCTCTTATCCTATCGCTTGATCACATCGGGCAGTTGTGTAGGCAAAGTTATGGATATGATGATCTTGGGACGCTTGGAGTGCTACTTGGAGTGCAACATCTACCCAGATGCCATGACAGGATTTCGGCATGGTCAGTCATCGATTGACAACGTAGTCGACTTGGTCACTTACGTCCAACATGAGAAGGGAAGTAGGCGTCTCTGAACATTTTTGTTTCTAGACGTCAAATGGGCGTATGACAACGTTACGCGTTACCGCTCTCGAAGATGTAGGAGTAGGTGGTCGTATGTATCGCTGGATACGTAGTTATTTGTGAATGCGATCCTTCTTTGTGAGCACTGAAGACGGTGCTCCACATTACAGCCACCGTGGCGTTCCCGAGGGTGGCGTACTCAGCCATGTGCTGTTCAATCTTATGCTAATTGCTCTTACTGAGCATCTGCCAATCACAGTCAGGCTATCAATGTGTGCAGATGATATCTGCATTTGCGCGTAGGCTGTAACACGCCTGCAGTTGTGAGCGATAATTCAGAAACTGCCACTGAAACATTACGCTACCTCTAAAATTGAGGCTCGGATATTTCTTCCGTGAAATGCACCCTCGTAGCTTTTACACACAAGGTCAAAGTGTACCATACATTCGCTAGCACAAGCTTTTGGGCGTCATAATTGACAGGAATCTATCATGGGGCGATCACGTTTCGTAAATGAAAAAGAGTTGGACATCTGCAATCTACTGAAGTTCTTTGCAGGGAAGACTTGGAGAATGTCGCCCAGTGCAATGCTACAGCTGTACAGTGTACTTTTTTTTTCTCGGTTTCCTGCGGTACAGCTTACCGGCATTGACCAATGCAAGCAAAAGAAGCCTACGAACGTAACATAGTGTTCAGTCCGAGGCACTCCATATTTGCCTCAGCTTGCCTCATAGTGCGTCGACAATGGCTACTATAGCAATCGCCGGTGACAACCTCATCACGACACATATCTACGTTGAGGCACTCAGGACACATATAAGGCATATTGCTCGGACATCCTGCCGACACCTAGCCTCTATACCAGCAGAATGACCACGTTCGTCATTTGCCAAACGGTAACCGCATATCGCGACCCTATGCCATTATGCTTCACACCCGCCGCCAGGCCTTCGACTCCTCCTTGGTGCCTGACTCAGGCTAACTATACCTGGCACCCCAGAAAAAAAGCAGACATGTCGTCACCTGCTCTTAGGCAGCTTGCTCTGCTCTTGTTATAAAAGATGCATCAAGGCTGCATACACGTATACACCGACGGCTCTGTTTTACAGAAGAGTTCAACGGCATCATTTGTTATACCAAAAAAAAGACGCAAGAAAATTCAAGGCCTCCCACCTTACTTCATCAACGGGAGCAGAGCTCACAGCCCCTCGTACCGCATTGCGATTCATCAGCGATCAACAGCCACAAAAATGGACAATTTTCAGTGGCTCAAGGGCGGCACTGCAATCCCTTCTATCACCTTTATGCCACGGCCCATACGTACAGCCGGTATTCGAGATTGCAGAAAAGACTCACCAATTCATTGAGAAAGGACATGAAATAGCCTTTCAATGGCTTCCAAGTCATTATGGAATAATTGGCAATGAACGGGCCCATCAAGCTGCCCGTTCTGCTCATACTGAAAGTGATCAAATATCGATTCCGCTCTCCAGAACTGTACGCTGCACAGAAACTCCACATGCTTGCTCGCAAGCGCACCACGTCGCAATGGAAAGAGTCACACTTCACCCAAGCACCATCACGTACCTTTGACCCAACTCTCAGTCTTCGACTTCCTCCGGAACTTTGCCGACGAGACGCTAATATGCTTGGAGATTATGGTTGGGTGTCGCACTTGCCAATGCGTACGCGTTCCGCATAGGAATGCTTGACAATGCTGCATGCGACCATTGCGGCAGTGACGAAACAACTTGGCATATTCTGCAGTGTGAATGCCCACTATACTGCTCGAAGAGACTGTCACCCTGCAATGCACTAGACGAACTGGACAACCAGACTCTTTCGGAAGAATGAATCCTGCGCTACCGACAGGACTTAATGTCGCAAAAGAAGGCTGTGAAGGCGCTCCTGCGCTTCTTGCGTTCAACCGGTCTGTCCAAACGACTGTGATCGGAACGCCCTGAATAAGGGTGCATGTGAATTTTTTTTCTAATTTATTTTATATCTCTCTATCTCTATCCTCTTTTCGATCCTTGTTTCCCCACCACTGTACAAGTACTTTTTGGGACCTTTCGAGGTCCTATGTGTTGTTCTTCATTCGTTATTCAATTTCGTTATCATTCAGCGAAATTGAAGGGTGACTGACGCTCATGTCCTTATGATGTGATGATTACACAATCTACACTAATGGTTTTATCAGTTTACGTGAATGATTGTACGTGAATGATTGTATGTTGTGGTTTCTTTGTGAATAAAAATCAGTTGTTAGTGTGCGCTTATCCAATGTGTACCTTTCTAGGGTGCTCTCATGCCATCGTGGTGCATTTCTACGGTTTCAAAGGGGTAAAAGTACGGTAAAAGTATTGTTAGGAGTGGGAAAAAGAAGCGCAGCTAAAGAACTGCTTACGTCCAGTCACCAGAAACTCCATAGATTACCCCGATCTGCCAGATGTCAGTGACAATGACGGTGTGTATAAGGCTAGAAATATTCATGCCTTAATTCATGCACCTACTTTCGTTATGAAACATGAATGTTTGTACACCTCTCAGATGTATTCATGTATTTGTAGTATTTTATTTTTTGGAAACAATTTTTAAGAATAGGAACATTTTAACTTTCGGTTAATTTGGGCTTATTCGAAAAAGCGCTGCCACTTTCTTTGGTCTTGTTTTGGTGCGACTGTTTGCTTGTTTACTCGGCGACACCTGGGAACTTTGACAATACACCCAGCCGCGCTTCGTGACGTGCGGTTTGGGCAGATTGTCGGCGGATAAAACGCGTTGACTACAGTTTACAGTTAATAAGCACGCTCTTCTCTACTGAATCGGTGCACAACGCCTATGCGATGTTCACATTAACCGCGAGTAAAGCGCATTCCGCCTTTCACAGAAATGGTCGCCCTAGGCGATTCTCTTCATGCTTTAGCACTAAACCACACCTTTTCTGTGTTGTTTGTACGCAATTTGCTATGCACTAGTGTACCGTGACTGAACTACTTATTTACATCATTGTCATCTGCATGGGGGACAGTCTACAAGTCTGGTGAAGAAATTTATTGGCTGATGGCGCTTTAAGCTACACTGTGTTTACCACGTGCTACAACAAAGGCCTGGTTACTGGAACAAGCATATTTTTTTTTTCCAGAAAAAAAAAATGGCACTGCTTTTCAACGGTCACTAAATTTCATCCTTTTCAAAAGTTCATCCTTTTCACATTGGCAGCGTGTGTGTGTCGTTGTTACAGTGAAATTATACGACATCATATAAAAGCATGCAGTCTGAATTAATTTTCAAAGTCTGGGCTTTAAAACATTCTTAAATCTAAGCAGACGGTTGCGCACAGTAACTTTGCAAGTACAGTGTAAGTACCGAAGTCTAACAGTTTATGTGATAGTAATATTTCTATGCAGTGGTACCACAGTCAGATAAACACAACTAAGTCTCCTCATATGATCGATAAACTACAGTGCTGTAGTTGTACACTTACCAACAGCAGCTCAAGTGCATAGCCTAGAGTGTTTTTTGTGCGTTCTTTTTTTACAACCGAGTCGCTACAACACGCTGCAATCACACAGCATTTAATAGTCCTAATGTTTGGGAGCATAATAAGAGCATTTCGAGGTGTGCTTTAACAGAAAGAGACATCCACTCTGAAGTTATTCTGGTGAATGGAGGGTACGATGACAATAAATAGCACTCTGGAAAGTTGCTCGGCTGCTAATGCATAGTAATAAGATTGTCGAGTGCAAGACCAAACTGGTTTCGTATGTCATTTCATGCATATGAAGAAAAGTTGCACTCATGCCGACCTGACCGGAAAAACCACACTTTGGAAACGTGAATGACATACTACGTGCACATAGAAACACTACGTGGCTAGCAGAAGACGCACGGAGCAATCCACACTTCGCCTCTATGGACAGTTGCCACCAGGCGGTGGCTCTGCTTGTTCTTACGGCCGATTGAGAGAGAGAGAAAAACAACTTTATTCAAAATGGCAAGTTTTTTGAGGCCTTTGAAAATTTTCAATTTTCGAGCTTGCGTCAAATACTGATAATTCATTTTTAGGGCAGTTTTTGAAACAAAATCAGTAGCCTATAGTTTTCAGACAGTTTATTTTTCCAAGTTGCATCGAATTTCAATAATAAAATTTTGGCACCATTTTGACAAAAATGGCAAGCCGATAACGTTTAGAAAGCTTCCATTTCTTTATTTTTTGAGATTACATGATATTTTGAATAATTACATTTTGTGAGCATATACATCATAACTACTCGTAGTCTTTCGCTGTGCAAATATGTTAATTCTATATCATTCAGCAAGAGTGAGGCAAATATTTTATTGATGTGGTACACATACCAAAACTTGTGCAGACAAGCTTAGCGTTACATTATAGTTTGCGCATTGGAGCAGCGCTTACTTGTATAACTTGAGACTCTGCTGTGGGAATATTAAAAAAAAAAAAAGGCTTAGCAATTTTCAATAAATGTGATCACACACGCAGTATTTCTGCAATGGGGACCCTCCACCCAAGAGGACCACGACGTTTAGTTCATTTATTTCTTTTCAAGTTTCTTCACATTTCTTGGGACCGATATGCAGCACTATAATAACTAGAGCCCTCACCGCAGCTGTGGCATTGCAAGAGCGTGTCCGCTTCAGCTACAGGAGGTACCAGGTTTGATCCCCAGTGCCGGCCAGCCACCGAGATGAACATGCACATACAGACCGAGAGGTACATGTTGCCGTAAGTAGCATATGCATCGTTTCTAGTGCGGTTCTCAGCGGCTTTCAGCTATCAGTGGCTCTCGGCATGGTCCATGGGCTGTGTCGAAAGTTTGCAACCCCGCATTCGCGGCGTCATATTGCTTGATTGATTTGTGGGGTTTAACGTCCCAAAACCACCATATGATTATGAGAGACACCGTAGTGGAGGGCTCCGGAAATTTTGACCACCTGGGGTTCTTTAACGTGCATCCCAATCTGAGCACACGGGCCTACGACATTTCCACCTCCATCGGAAATGCAGCCGCCGCAGCCGGGATTTGAACCCGCGACCTGCGTGTCAGCAGCCGAGTACCTTAGCCACTAGACCACCGCGGCGGGGCGGCGTCATATTGCTTGCATTTGTTACCTTGCATATGTGTTGTATTGACACTTTGTAAGCATGACTAGTTATTATATTCGGATGGCAAGCTCGTCGATGTAATGGCAGTTAATGAATGCACACGTGTTGGCTGCACGATGGAGTGAATATCTCTTTGTACAGAGCTAGCAAGCGTTTGCAGAGTCCACAAAATGTTGAGCCAACATTACGCCGAGTATCACACAATGTTTACATGCTGGAAACAACTTGTTCTAAACTTCAGTGTTTCGGTTCACGAGTACTGTACATGTCTCAATACCTCACATACTCAAATGAAAAGTTATTCACCAAGACAAAGTAGAATCATTCCAATCTGTTTATTGTAATAAAGGGATCAAACTGACCCGTACACTCAAATGCCCACTTGGTAGTACCAGACAGTGCACATTCCTTCCAACTGTTCCAACTCCACCCAAAGGTAACGAGATCAAATGCGTAGGCGTGAGCCTCAAACACCCACTAAAACATTATCACTAGCAAACAAACTGTCTGCCTCTACCAGAAAAGCCTACAGGTAGACAACTGGTCATGATGGCACGCACTGATATGCAAAAAAGACAACATCGGTAACAGGGGTGAAGTCAACAAACAGTAATATCATTTCCTATTGCTGCTATTATGTCCAAAACATAGGCCAATCATTTTGCATTCTGAACAAGTCGTTACAAGCATTGCCTGTGGAAGAATGCACAATAATGTGTGCCTGCCAAATTTCTAATGTGTAGCCTTAAGTGCATGACAGTTTCTCATTTGTGACAAGACTTTTTCGACAGGCTTTGCCTTTCCTGGCACAAGTGACAAAGTAACCCACTACAGCACAGCACGTTCAGTGCAATTCAGGATGAATATAGCGACACGATAACCAGATGCTGTGGCTGTAACTTTCATTACGAATTACTACAGTCAACTTCTTAACAAGCTTAACTCTTGGGCTAGCACTGTAACTATGCAATTGTGTTACAAAACAAAACCCCATTTCACTTAACATTATTCCAAATGGTATCCATCCCACACTGCAGGACACAGATAAAAAAAGAAATCGAATCCTATTCAAGCAAACTTTTGAGACAGTCAAAAACTGATGTCAGTTTTTAAGACCACTGATCAATTCATGTCATACCACTATCACCTTCCTTTGCTCGAATGATTAGATGTCAAGTTTTACCGAGGTTATAGAAAAATGAAGGCCTGAGAGATCAGCTGTAGTAGAGTGAACACCTGCAGCCCCATTTTCACAAGAATCCAAAATATGATGAACCTGAAATGATGAAATGAAATGAACCAGAAATTTTTGCTTAGCTATAAAATGTGCCAGTTACAACTTGTCATTGATGTATTATACAACTAACTAATGCCCTCAGGTGGTTTTTTTATATATATTAGGAAAGTTTGTGAATGCTTTGAGCACAGAGTATCGCAAACTGTTTTATGAGTAAAATCCACCTCTCAAGCAGGCTTCCCAACAAGATTTAGTTATGCTTTCTTCCATGGACGATTTTTTTTATGGCCTAAGCAGAATAAAAAACGGATGTCAAAATAAACCTGAGAGTTATAAACAGAATAGGTAGTGGGCAGAGTGATTATCAAAAGCCCATTGTAAGTTCAGTAAAACCGACTAAAGAAATTTAAAACCTGTGGCCAAAATATGGCAACCCACTTTCTTTGGCACTAGTGACTACCGGCCACAGATGCGCAGCTAACAATGCAGCACGGTAACAACAAAGCACATGCCTACAAGAGCCAAGTGACCAATTTTTAATAATTGTTAAGACCTTATTGCTGCTGAGCATTAACCAATAAAAGGTAATTTCATCAGTTTCGAACGATCCTGGAAACACTAAATACGTGCACAACCTCATTTTAAGCGGTGTATGTTTCACTAAAATAGTTATTACTGGTGCGAGCAAATTGAGAGAAAAACACCAGGTGCTCCGAAGTTGAAATCCGATCAGCCGACAAGCTCATGTAACAAGTTTGGGGGCAGCCCAATGTTACACAGCCTAGTGCTTCTCCATTCAATGGCACTTCAATGTGCGCAACTACAATGGCACCACTTCATTTACAATGGCACCACTTAAGCTTTATGCACTAACATGTAGAGATATCCAAACTAAAGCTTTGAAGTTGTACACACAGTGGAATTTAAATGTAACAGGAAAGAAAAAAAAAGGACGATAAATGCAGTACAAAATGCACACTAAATCCCGCAATGACAAATTCGTGTGCACTAATGTTTTACTAAACCTTCCTCCCATGGCACGATATATACCAGTTTACACACAGCCAACTGCTTTCGTGCTGTCGTTGTATGGGGCCAGTGACAGACATCGGATAGCAACAAAAACCATCATACTGCATCGGTAAACGAAAATGCAAGAAGGTAGAGAAGTAGAACACACGATGCATTCCCTAGCAGTACAATCGCTGGTTTATCACGGCGAGGCATACTGCTTCGGCTTGCACACTGCGATCGACCAGCAATTGCATGCGCTCTCAGTTTTTCACCACCATATTCGACGAAACAAACATTGCGGTCACCTCAAGGAGTGCTTCAATGCCGAGTGCTCGTTAATTTCCCCGCAGCTGACGATGCTACTTGCTCAAGCAGCGAAAATGAAAGCGCAAGCCCGTCCATCAGTAGCGCGGCAGCGCCAATGAACTCGTGGGAGTTAAGAGTAAACGGCAGTTAAGTAGCAGTCTTCACATCAAAGAAAAGCCGGCATGGTGGAGCGCAATGGTACAAAGTTTACATGTGAAGCACGTAGAGCGCCTTTCGTTCACGCTGCTGCCTGCCGTAAAAGTGTCGAGGTTCCTGCAGGCCCCACTCGGTTACTGCGTAGTACTCGAATAGAAGCGGTTGAAATCGATCCTGCAAAGAGATCGTGAAACTGTAAGCCCTTTCAGAAGTGACCTGAGAGAAACTGACTGTCGAATTTGTGAAATTTAGCGAGCCATAATTTGCAATGATTGCAATGTTGTCAAAATAAAATAAAGATAAAATATAAAAAATCTTAGTTAGACTCGTAACGGACAATAGTGACCACTTGCATAAAACTGTGGTCAGTGAAAAATAAATAGAAAGCCTGCGCTTGGCAGCGGCCCCTCTCGGAATAAAAGGTTTAGTGGCGCGTATGCTCGGCCCAGCGCAGTCGCTGCTGGCGCCCTGGCGCCGTGTACTTCGCTTTGTTCAATTGGGGCAGTTGGGGCTGTTTGGCCTCATGGTTTGTCACTGTGTATCCTGTTGGCCTCTGTGCATTGCGGACGTGATCGTGGTGTGATGGAACCGATGGAGCCGAACGCATCAGCCAACGCCGTGCGTCACAAAGCAACGAAGCGCAAGCAGATTTTCCTTAAAGACAAGCTTGATATCATCGAGCAAGTTGAGAAGGGAAAGAAGCAGGTGGACGTCGCCGTGGCCTACGGCTTGTCGAAGCAGACGGTTAGCACTATCATCAACGCCAAAGAGGCAGTCTTGGCGAAGAAAGTCTCAGGTGACTTGCAACCCAAGAGGTTCCGGCTCCGCGAAGCTTCATATCCTGACGTCGAAGAGGCCCTGCTGATGTGGCTTCGTGACGCCCGTTCGCGAAATATACCCGTTAACGGACTGCTGCTACGAAAACGCGAGGAGCAACTTGCCGTTGTTCTTAACCAAGAACAGTTCCAGTGCAGCGAAGGCTGGCTGAGCAGATTGAAATCTAGGCATGCCATCGCGTTTAAGTGCCTTTTTGGAAAGTCTGCCAGCGTCGACGACACTGTTGTAGCTGACTGGATAGCAGATGTTCTACCTGCACACCTTGAAGGCTACACACCGCAGGATGTATTCAATGCCGATGAAAGCGGCATTTTTTATAAGTTTAAACCAGGCAAGACTTTTTGTTTTGGCGATGACACATGCCACGGCGGCAAGAAATCTAAGGAGCGCATTAGCGTTCTCTCTCTGCTGCAATATGGACGGGAGCGAGAAAGAAAAACTCCTGGTGATAGGGAAGTCGAGAAGACCACGGTGCATGCGCAATATGCACGTTCCCGTGGACTGGCACTCCAACAAAAGTGCTTGGATGACAAAAGATATTTTTAACAAATGGCTACTCGATTTGACAGCAAGATGGTGAAGCAGAAAAGGAATGTGATACTAATCCTTAACAATTGCTCAAGCCATATGCAGCTTCCCGGGCTTCATGCAACGAAGGTGGCGTACTTTCCACCGAACACAACGTCAAAAGCTCAGCCGATTGACCAAGGTATGTGCACTCAGTGAAGTCACGGTACCGCTCACGCCTTGCTGAGCGTTTGCTTTTTGACATGCAGCAGAAGCGGGACTCAGTGATCGACCTGAAATTTGCCGTGCAGGTGCTGTCAACTGTATGGGCGCAGATTCAGCCAGGAATCGTAAAGAATTGCTTTAAGAAAGCAGGTTTCCGAGTTGACAGCGACTGCACAGACTGCTTGCCAGAGGAATACCAACCAGATCCTGGTGTGTGGTCAGCTGTGGAGGAGGCCTTTGGGAGCCAGTAGTTTTCGGATTACGTCACTGCAGATGATGACCTGGTCAGCTCAGAGCAGCTGACAGACAGATGAAGAGATTGTAGCCCAAATTCGCCAAGTGCCTAATGCTGAGCAAGAAGAAGAACAAAATAAAGAAGGCAACTCAGGGATTGTCACAGAGGAGGTCACAACTTCTCAGGCGTTGGACTACATTCAAGGGCTCAAAAGCTATTTCGAACAGGCCACGACTTCAGATGAAATGAACACACTTGTCATGATGGAGACACGTATAGTGTCTAAAGCTGTCCGCCACACAGTACAGGCAAAGCTGACTAGCTTCTTTCAAACATTTAATAAATCCGTTATTTGATCCGTTATGTTTGATCCGTTATGTAAATCCGTTATGTTTGTGACTTTCAATTCTATCCTGTTATAACAAAGTCATTACGTGTTTACGTAAATGTCTGTTGTAACAGTACATGGATTGTACAGACTCCTTTTACAACAGACCAAATCCTCTTCACTATGAAGGTCTGTGTAACGAGGTTATACTGTAGTGAGTACCGGCCACAGATGTGCAGCTAACAATGCAGCACGGTAACAACAAACCACATGCCTACAAGAGTGAAGTGACCAATTTTAATTGTTGAGACCTTATTGCTGCTGAGCATTAACCAATAAAAGGTAACTTCATCAGTTCCGGACAATCCTGGATCCTGGAAATACGTGCACAACCTCATTTTAAGCGGTGTATGTTTCACTCAAACGAGTTATTACTGGTGCGAGCAAATTGAGAGAAAAACACCAGGTGCTCGGAACTTGAAATACGATCAGCGACAAGCTACTGTAACAAGTTTGGGGGCAGCCCAGCCCAATGTTACACAGCCCTAGTGCTGCTCCCATTCAATGGCACTTCAATGTGCGCAAACTACCAATGGCACCACTTCATTTTACAAGGCACCACTTAAGCTCTTATGCACTAACATGTACGAGATATCCAAACTGAAGCTTTGAAGTTGTACACACAGTGTAATTTAAATGTAACAGGAAAGAAAAAAAAAGGACGATAAATGCAGTACAAAATGCACACTAAATCCCGCACATGACAAATTCGTGTGCACTAATGTTTTACTAAAACCTTCCTCCCATGGCACGATATATACCAGTTTACACACAGCCAACTGCTTTTCGTGCTGTCGTTGTATGGGCAGTGACAGACATCGGATAGCAACAAAAACCATCATACTGCATCGGTAAACGAAAATGCAGAAGGTAGAGAAGTAGAACACACGATGCATTCCCCTAGCAGTACAATCCTGGTTTATCCACGGCGAGGCATACTGCTTCGGCTTGCACACTGCGATCGACCAGCAATTGCATGCGCTCTCAGTTTTTCACCACCGTATTCGACGAAACAAACATTGCGGTCACCTCAAGGAGTGCTTCAATGCCGAGTGCTCGTTAATTTCCCCGCAGCTGACGATTTGCTACTTGCTCAAGCAGCCGAAAATGAAAGCGCAGCCCGTCATCAGTAGCGCGGCAGCGCCAATGAACTCGTGGGAGTTAAGAGTAAACGAGCAGTTAAGTAGCAGTCTCACATCAAAGAAAGCCGGCATGGTGGAGCGCAATGGTACAAGTACATGTGAAGCACGTAGAGCGCCTTTCGTTCACGCTGCTGCCTGCCGTAAAAGTGTTTCTGCAGGCCCCACTCGATTACTGGGTAGTACTCGAATAGAAGCAGTGGAAATCGATCCTGCAAAGAGATCGTGAAACTGTAAGCCCTTTCAGGAGTGACTTGAGAGGAACTGACTGTCAAATGCGTCAAATTTACAGAGCATTATTTTAAGGCACTCAATGCTCTACTGCCACAAAAAATGTCGTCACCGTTTAACTCGCCATTTATAGCAATTTATACCCATTAAGTTGAGATGAAAAATCTATGCTAACCGAATTCACGTTTTTGCATAAATAGAATCACATATCGCGATATAGTGAAATCTATTGAGTTACACTGTTGCCGAGTAAAGAAATACTGCAAAATTCTGAAAAATATTAAATCCTAAGCAAGCACTCCTATGGTGAAAGATAATACACTCATACCTCATTATAACAAAGTTGGATCTTACAAGAAAAACAAGTTTGCTACATTCGAAAATTCTTTATAAAGGTATATTTCTAATACTAGCTATTACAAGACTATTTTTCATTTCTATAATCAATATTTCATTATATCCATGTTTGTTATGCACAGGTTTGAGTGTACAACAAGATTTGAGGGGAGGGGGGGTATGGTCAGGAATCGAAATTCCAGGTGGTGGTGGAAGAGCCGCTAAGAATAAAGAACGAAACATTGTGCTTCTAAACTCTTTATTGACTACACATGCGTTCTTTGTTTTTATTTGCTTTCGTCAAGCAAATAAAAATTTGGGAACTCTAGGCTTCGCCTTTAACTTTTTCACTACGATGCATTTCACAACGATGCATTTCAAGTTTAAATGCTCGCGTTGTCGCACAGTTTAAGAGCGCCCAACGCCATCTAGGCATGAAAGGAGGAAATGCATGAAGGGATCCACGATGGTTTGCTTGTGTTTTGCTATGGGGGAGTTTTCTCTCCCCGCAGGAAGTTTTCGGGTAGCCACGCGAGCGCGCCAATCATGGCGTCGTCCCAAAAGACGACGTATTTCCCGCGAATCCAGTGCATCATCAGTCAATTATCAGGATATAGGCAGCAGCGAGTCTGGAGAACACGTTGACTCATCGTTATTCAGCACGAATGACGAGAATGCGACACGTCAAGCCACAGCGCCCATCAGGTGTGTGTTGAATGTGAGGTGCACATTTTGTTGATTAACAGTACTTACTGCAATTTCGCTTGTGTTAGCCCTTTCAGCCCTGGATTTTTTATTTTGGTCAGATAGACTTTTTGTGTGCGTTTTCCTCGTAGTTAGGACCTCAGAAGACCACAGACAAGAATTAAGCCACTGGTACAAGCAATTTTCGATTAATTAACCTGGAATCAAATTAGGTAATTAGGGCCTAGAGATTAGAAAAAAAATGGCTTCTTTCTTGCCAATCAATGGTGTACGCAAAATGGAAACAAACATCTCACTTTTAAGCCTAATACTCACTGAAACAGCTTCGGTTCGTCGTCCCGAAAATGGCGCTTACCCGCCTCAACTTAAGCGCCTCGACATCACGGAAGACCTCGATCGTGCTTCTTCGTTGTGGCTGCTACCTCCACAAACGTGTCGCAATATTGGTGTCAATTGCAGTAGGGATCATTGAAGAACTATGCCCCCAAGAATGAGCAGTATTGGCTACGTTTCAGAGATACTAGGGGGTATGTTGTGCGATGGTGTCAATTGACACCGCAAGGGCTGAAAGGGTTAGGGTCTCAACGTCATACGGACATGACCACTCGCCCGCGTCTGTCAAGCGCATACAGCTTCTGCCGAGACAAAACCCAGGTGTCGTAGCCGGCTGTGCGCTCTCTAGTAATGCACGATGCTTCGTCCAGGCCATCGATTTCTTTCAGCTGTTTTTTACCACGCAGCCGATCAATCTGACCTAAACTGCAAGCGCTGCTACGACAAGAGAATGACACAGATGAAAACAGCAGTTTTGTGTCACCCATGTGGGGTCTATCTTTGTTTCATCCCGTCAAGAGACTGCTTTCGAGAATGACAGGAAGCGCACCCTCACAAACTTTTTTTTTTTCTGGGAAAAACAGTTTTTAGCAATAAGTTTCTGAAACTTGTGTACAGTTGTTGCAACATGAGTGCTAGTCACAAATTGTATATTCTGAATTTTTTTTTCACGTTATCCTTCTTTTGAAAGTGTTCAATGTGCTATCACTGTATAAAATTTTCTATATAAACATTTTTTTCATTATTATATATAATAAATATATGTACAGTCAAACCTCAATATATCGAACACGGATATATCGAATTATTGCCTATATCGAACGGTTCCTATATCACGCGGGAAATCGCATGCATTATTGATTTTTTATTTCGAACAAAGTTTGACATATAATGAATATATCAAACTCAGCCACCCCAAACCGCTCGCACTCCATTGACAGGCGGCGAGCTTTCTCGCAACTCTCGAAAGTAGCGGTAGAGCGGCGGGCGTTTACGAATGCTGCACACATCGATGGCGCAGAGAGCGCCACTTTAACGTAGCGGCGTACGCGTGCCACAGTCTTGTGGTAGAGGTTCTTGAATGAGGAAAGAAGAGAAAAGCGTGGAGCTGTTATTTTCTTTCAATACGAAGGCACCGACACGGCTTCGCGTGGGGGAAGGGAGAGTGGGAGGTAAAGATTGAAGAGGAAAGTATAGGAGGGAAAGGACGCAGACGACTGTCTCGAACGCGGCCCGCGCTGCCGCCGGGAAAGGGAAAGCAGTCAGGCGAGCCGGCATGGGCGCGCCATGTGCGTGATTTATACCCGGACTCGCGCAGCAGCCTTGCAGCTTGCAGTCGTTGCAGCCTCTATGGTGTCAACGGCACACTGCGCTCTTGTTGCAAGCTCCTCCCCCGTAGCATCGGCAGGCATCGGTCGTTGTGCTCGCAGTGTTCGTGCGTTCGGAGTTGGGCCAGTCGCGCACTGTTCGGAGTTGGGCCTGTCGCGCACTGTTCGGAGTTGGGCCTGTCGCGCACTGTTCGGAGTTGGGCCTGTCGCGCACTGTGGCTGTCGCGCGACAGGCCTAACTCCTAAAGGCGGAGCTCACGGATGTCGAGATTGTCGCCGAAGCTACTGCTGAGCAGCCAAATGAAGACTGCCGAGGTGGATCCCGCAAGCGCTGATGGTGCCCCGCTCCCGACATCAGCTGAGGTCGTAGCTGCCTTGGCCCTTGAAGGCACCGGCCTATCTCTTATGGATCGCCTGGACTATATCGAGGACGCAGTCGTCAAACACGCCATGGCCAACAAAAAGCAGGCTACTTTTTTTCAATATTTTAAACCAACACAATAAATACTATGTTTGAATCTTTAAGTGAGTATTTACTGCACCACGCTTGAACGATTCGTTGGTCGTTTTCAGCAAGCTGTTGACGCATTTTTTTCGAGACTTTTTTATATCGAATTCAGGATATAGCGAACTATTTCACGATCGCCGCGCCGTTCGATGTATCGAGGTTCGACTGTACAACATTTATGTTATTGACAACAAGTGTTTATTTAGCTACATTTTGGTACCAAACAATGTGAATGAGACGCTAGTATCTAGCAAGAACAAATGTTTTCAGACTTAATGAAAAGACCCCCTTTCCTGCGGTAGCGAAAGAGTTAGCGGTACTTTATAAAAGGGCGCAATTGTATTCCAAGTGTCCCAAAAAAGGAATGGAGGGTGCATGCCCAGGTAGAGGTGCTTGCTGAGGATTTAACAGATGCACTCAAACCTTGATATAAAGAGCCCGCATAAAACAAAATATCAGTTATATTAAAGGAAATCATGAAGTGGTATTGCAAAAGATATAAAAGATATAGTGTTGGGAATATACTTTTATAACAAATTTTCGGATACAACAAACATACATGTGTAAGAAGCAACTCTGTTATAAGGTTCAAGTGCACCAGTTTCGACGTTGGTCACTGAAAGTGGAATGTTGAAGAGCTCATGGAACAGTTAAATGACAACAGAGTGGACTCCTGTAAAACAGAACATTAAAAAAAATGGGAAAAAGTAACTCTGTAAGCACGAGTTTCATTTACTGAAAGTGAACTGTACATTTTATAACACGTGAAGTTGAATTAATCCAGATCTCTACGAATCTTGAGTCTTTCGTCGCCACTAGTTGAAACTAGAAAAAAAAAAAAATTTCCACGCTAACATTTACGGAATGCCTCACAGGGTTAGACAAAAGGGATGTACACTCAAACCTCATAACATGGTTGAATCCTGCATAAAAATCAGTTCGTTACATCCAAAAATTCGTTGTAAAGGTTTCTTCTTAAGGCTGTCTGCTGCAGGAAGGTTTTTCATTTACTTTGTTATAACAGATATTTTGTTATATCTGGATCCCCGAGACGAAGTTTGAGTGTAACTGCTTGCTGTTACATGTTTGAGTCTAGAAAACACAAAGTTTCACGCTGTTCCATCAATTCCAAAATTCAGCTTGTGGCCACCAGTCAGCGATTGTGGTGACAAAATTTCTCAATAACTGCGTACACTAAGCTCCACTGTTGGACAAAAAAAAAAAAAACTGGTTTTAGACATTCAATAACATGCCAGTTCCCTATAACATGTTAATAGCCATCAGACTATAAAATCGGGGCAACTGTGACACGGCAATTGTAGCTTATGAATTCGTCAGAGACGTACGTTCACTATGAAAGACCTAGTCACTTTTAATAGTGGAGAAGTGTCATGATCAATGCTTTTAATAAAAGTAGATAGAGAATTCCAACGATCTATTAAGCTATTTGACTTGTCAAGTGACCAGAGATATCTCTTTGATAAAAACTTTTTCTTTCCTATTTCACGGTAGGAACAGTTCGCTGGAGAAAACCTCAGCGCTACGAAGTGCTCAGCCCTACGGTCGCATTTTTTTAACAACACCACTGCCAGTGATTTCAAGGCCTTCCAGCATGAGGCGAATGCTGGAGGCAAGTTGAAATGGGAACAAATTTTTACTCTCAATTAAAGTTGCATCTACACAAGAATAAGTGTTATATACGAAAATTTGCAATAAAGATTACAAGAACATTTTTCATTTACTGTGTTACAACCAATATTTTGTTATAATCGGATTTGTTATAAATAGGTTTGAATGTACATAGGTCCTTGTTATTTGGGGGTCGAAAGTACACCATGCCATAGAAATTTAAATTTAATTATGATGACAGAAGGTTTTTTTATAGTGCACCTGAGCTTAGCACCGCGAGCGTTCTACTTTTGTAGTCACAAACTCAAACCTCGATATTACGAATTCGGGTATAATAAATTATCCGCTATAACGAGATAAAGGACCAAGAGCATTGCCTTGAGTATTGTTACAAAAAATCATTTATAAAGAATTTTGGGACATAAAGAAGTGATATACAGATATAATGAACTTTCTTATAAGAAACTCAGTAGCTATATACTCTGTCATTAACAAATGAAGAGCTGGGTGCGAAAAAAGCCATTTCTAAATTCGGGTAGCTTCTGCACACAAAAGCAGCGTGGTACTGTCTAAACTTTCGCAGTGAGCAGAACAGCTTCTCTCGACTTACCGATACAGCATCTCTGCAAGATTGATCTCGAGGCTCGCCCGAGATGATGTGGCACCTCCTTCAAGCAGCTTTTTACGCAGAGCACTCAGTTGGTGGTGGAACTTCCGCTGGAAGCGGTTCACTTGCTCCTCGAAATCTTCCTCCTTTTTATCACTCTACAAAAAGAGTGCAGGGTAACATTGTCCATGGTCCGTACACGATTACAGATACTACCACTATGACACACTCGGCGTTATATTCACTTCGTGCATGTCCTGGAATGAACATGCTGACAATGTTGGTTCAAAAGTACAGGAAGTTGTCTGTGTCTTAAATCGCAATCGAAATGTACTACCCTCTAGAATCAAGCATCTCATTTATCATGCTTTTTTTTTAATTCACACCTCAGTTATTGCTCAATAAATGCACCACAAAACGTACTGACGCTGGAAACGCTTCAGAAGAAAATTAGAGCCAAAGCAAATTTTCCTTTCTCCGAACATGCGGAAGAACTTTTTCGGCAAGTTTCGAACGGCAGCGATGGCGTAGTGGTTAGAACATTAGCCTCGCATCCAAGAGGTCCGTGGTTCGAATCCCAGTGCCTCGCAGTTCCCAACCGGAGAAGAAAAGAATCCGCGTGGTGGTGGAACCGCATTAAGAGTCCTGGGGTGCGGCCTCACCAGTGACTTCCGCCGGTAACGCAGTCCCTCACCAGAGAAGGATTGGCCCCCTTGGTGCAGCCTCTCACATGCATACGTTAATTAACTTACGGCTCTCAGAACCCAGCAGCTGCCAAGCAACTGGCCACGGCGGCGGTCAGATCTGCAACGCGGCAGAGGGTGCTAAGAATCTCTGGATCCGGACAGGCCGCCATTGGAACCTGAACTTGGCAACGTTTACCGCTAGAACCTTATCTAGTGAGGCAAGTCTAGCTGTACTATTTCAGGAGCTAAAGGGTGTTGAGTGGGATATAATAGGGCTCAGTGAGGTTAGGAGGACAGATGAGGCCTATATGGTGCTACAGAATGGGCACGTGCATTGCTATCGGGGCTTGGCTGACAGAAGAGAGCTTGGAGTGGGGTTTCTAATTCACAGAAACATAGCTGGCAACATAGAGGAATACTAAAGCATTAATGAAAGGGTAGTAGGTGTCGTAATTAAACTCAATAAGAGATACAAGATGAAGGTGGTACAGACTTCCGCGCCTACATCCAGCCATGCCATGATGACGCTTCAGTTGAAAGCTTCTATGAAGACGTGGAATCGGCAATGAGTAAGGTAAGAACGCAGTATACTATACCGATGGTAGAATTTAATGAAAAGGTAGGGAAGAAGCAGGCTGGAGACCAGGTAGTAGGAGATTAGGGCATCGGTACTAGAAATGCCAGAGGGGAGCAACTAGTAAAATTCACAGAACGCAATAATTTACATATTTTGAATACCTTCTACCCAAAACGAGGAAACCACAAGTGAACATGGAGGAGCCCTAATGGCAAAGAGAAGAACGAAATATACTTTATAATGAGTGCACACCCAGGCATCGTGCAAGATGTGGAAGCGCTTGGCAAGGTACGATGCAGTGACCATAAAATGGTACGGTCCCGAATTCGCCTAGACTTTAAGAAGGAATGACAAACTGATACGCAAGAAGCCAATCAATGAGCAAGCACTAAGAGGGAAAGCACAAGAATTCAGAGTCCTGCTTCTGAACAGGTATTCTGCTCTTGGCGAGGAAACCAACCTTAGCGCAGACGCAATGAATGATAATCTGACGAGTATCATTACGGAGTGCGCAGTGGAAGTTGGAGGTACTGTGGTCATACAGGACACTGGCAAGCTGTCCCAGGAAATAAAAGATCTCATTAAGAAGCGTCAAAGCATGAAAGCCTCAAATAAAACAGAAATAGAGTTGGGTGAAGCTTTCGAGGTTGAATAATAAGTGTAAGGTATCCAATGTAGGAAGGTATAACGTGCAGAGAATTGAAGACGCTCTGAAATAACGTGCAGAGAATGGAACACACTTTGAAGATTGCAGGAAGTGTCAAAGCAGTGAAGAGAAAACTTGGGATAGGCAAAAATCGAATGTATGCTCCAGGAGACAAGGAAGGCAAAATAACTACCAATATGGATAGGATAGTAGAAGAGGCGGAGGAGTTTTAGAGATCTCTACAGTAGACAGCACAACCACGACCTTAATATAAGAACTAGAAGTAACCCAAATGACACCACACCAGTAATGATAGACATCAGAAGAGCCTTGAAGAGCATGCAAAGAGGCAAAGCTGCTGGTGAGGATTAGGTAACATCAGATCTGTTGGAAGATGGAGGAAAAATTGTGTTAGAAGAACTAGCGATCCTGTTTACGAAGTGTTTCCTGACAACAAGTGTACCGAATTTTGGAAGAATGCTAACATCCTAATACATAAGAAAGGAGATAACACGGACTTGAATTACAGGCCGATCAGCTTGCTCTCCGTAGTATACAAGATATTTGCAAAGGTAATTGCTAACAGAGTAAAGAAAACATTAGAATTCAATCAACCAAAGGAACAAGCAGGATTTCGAACAGGCTACTCAACAATTTACCACATTCATACTGTCAATCAGGTAATAGAGAAATGCTCAGAATATAACCAACCACTATACATAACCTCCATAGATTACGAGAAGGCGTTTGATTCAGTAGAAGTATCGGCAGTCATGCAGACACTGCGGAATCAAGGTGTCGACGAAGCATATATAAGCATCCTGGAAAAAATCTACAGGGGATCAACTGCTACCATAGTGCTCCATAAACAAAGCAACAGAATACCAATCAAGAAGGGTGTAAGGCAGGGGGACACAATCTCCCCAATGCTATTTACCGCGTGCTTACAGGAGGTTTTCAGAAGCCTAGAATGGGAACAGTTAGGGATAAGAGTTAATGGAGAGTATCTTAGTAACCTGCACTTCGCCAATGGCATTGCATTGCTGAGTAACTCAGGGGACGAATTGCAAGTCATGATTACGGAGTTAGACAAGGACAGCAGAAAGATAGGTCTTCAAATTAGTCTGCAGAAAACGAAAGTGATGTATAACAACCTCGGAAGAGAGCAGCGCTTCGAGATAAGTAATAGTGCATTTGAAGTTGTAAAAGAGTATGTCTACTTAGGGCAGGTAATAACAACGGAGCCGAACAACGAGATTAAAGTAACCAGAAGAATAAGAATGGGGTGGAGCACATTTGGCAAGCACTCTCAAATCAAGACAGGTAGATTGCCACTATCCCTCAAAAGAAGCAGAAACATGGAGACTAACAAAGAGGGTTCAGCTTAGGTTGAGGACGACACAGCGAGCAATGGAAAGAAAAATGGCAGGTGTAACCTTAAGAGACAAGAAGAGGGCAGAGTGGATTAGGGAACAAACGGGGGTTAAGGGTATCATAGTTGAAATCAAGAAGAGGAAATGGACATGGGCCGAGCATGTAGCACGTAGACAGGATAACCGCTGGTCATTAAGGGCAACTAACTGGATTCCTAGAGAAAGCATGCGGGTTAGGGGGAGACAGAAGGTTAGGTGGGCAAATGAGATTAAGAGGTTTGCGGGTATAAATTGGCAGCAGCAAGCACAGGACAGAGGTGACTGGCGGAACATGGGAGAGGCCTTTATCCTGCAGTGGACGTAGTCTGACTGATGATGATGATGCAAACTAAAGACACTACAAAGCTACAAGAATGCTATGCTAGGAAAGCTAGATTAATTTCTAGCCCTCGCCAATCAAGAAGAAAATAAAAGTTTATGTTCGTATTGCCGTCAGGCTGTGTGACTAATTTTGTTTTCCCACACAAAATTATGGAAAACAGCGCCTTTGTCACACTGCCTTTCCTAATTGACCATTTCCAGAAACAAAATCTTGATGTTCTAACGCTAAACAAGACTAAAATGCTAGACCTATTCTTAGAGCAGGTTATCAACAAAAAGCAACATAAAAACATAAAACTGCATAAAACAAATACGAGTGACTTGATTGTATGCTTCTGTTATTGAACTTTCTATGTTACATGAAGTTTCTTTCGGTTTTATTCTGCAGGCTCTATATGCTTGTTTTAAATTTATTCATTACATTTTCGTTTCCACGATATTTATGCACAAATAAAATGCTATGTACTATCCTACCCCACTATGCTGTATGTGTAACAAGGTTTTTACTATTGTACTAAGAACAACTTTACCGCTGTCTGCCTGAGGGACCGGAGCTTTGTCAAGCCGATGAACGTTCGGCTTTTTCTCCAGTTCTCCCTTTTTCAGTTTGTGTACGAAATGGTGAAAATAAAGATTTTGATTGATTGATTGACATTTCGCCTCACCTGAACGTGGCTGCCATGGCAGAAACCAAACTAGCGACCTCGTATTCACTATTCATTATGACAGGTGCAAAAACATTTTTTTTTCCGTAATAAAGTGATACTACATTAAAAAAAAACAGATAAGAAGTTTCTTCAACATTTGAATTAAGCCCAAAATGTCATAGTCACAAGCTCAACTACTTGACCCAGTCATATGCTTAATGGCAAGTACAGATGGTGGCGATTTTTTGTGCAGTAACAAGCTCGCACAGATCACAAGTGTACTCTTTCCAACATAATTATGCCGTAAAGTAGAAAATTACTAATGAAGGAAAGCCACACCTCTGGATTACTGGATATGCGATTCATATTCGAAGCTATGTATTCGTATCCGATTCGTATTCGAAATATTCGATATTCATGGCATCATTGCATGCAGTTATACGCCACCTCCGGAGTGCGAATCTAAAAGTGGGGCTAGTGAAACAAGTCGTACTGACCACCATGAAGGAGGCAAACCGAAGGCACTCCTGCAACAATTTGTGAATGAGCTTGAAGACCTGGTGGTTGGTCAGCATGCAGAGGTTGACAAACGAGTCTATCAGGTCCGTGTGTAGCTCGAGCACCTCGTCTATCGTCTGGACCTGCGAGGAAAGGGTGAGGCTGTTATAATGATTTCAGGGTTTTAACATGCCAAAACGGCGACACTGTTACGAAGCAGGCACTGGCACACATAGCTGTTTACTGCACACATTCACACCTGCTATAAAAAATACTTTGTTATATCAGAAAATTCATTATAAATATATATTCACAATTTATAGCTATTCTGTACTTACTTCGTTTTAACTGATAATTCATTGCATTTGTGCTTGTTATATTGTTCGACTGTATCCCACATGCTCTTACAAAGGTTGCAGAAATGAGTCCACTACCTTGCTCAATTACTCCTCTATCGCAGCTGCAGCAATAACACAGTGCTGAATGCTATATTTTTTAGACATCAACAATCACACCGATCACTAGTATACAATGCATGCCCATGTGTATAATAAAGGCATAAAAAGATCCGTTTCCCATAACTGGTTCCAAAACTGACAAAACTGTGCTACAATGAAAGTGACTTAAGCATTCTGAACACAATAGACTAAGGCCGAACAGTCCATTTCTCTTTCTTTGTCACTTTGCATGCAGTTGCAGGTGCGTGAACATTGCTTTGCTAAGCTGCTATGTAAGTAGGCACTCACTGTGCTTGTGACTAGTATTCATGTAAAAATGTAAATGTTTAGCTAGACGCAACGACTGGAGCAGATATTTTTCAACCCGGACAAGCAAAGGAGTACGACTTCATCGAATTTATGAAATGGAGAAGTTTAGAAACTTGAGAGTTTACTGAAAACCCAGCTGGCAAAGCAAGAGCTTGAAGTTTGAATTAAGCCAATGTTTGAATCATCAGTTTATATTACACTCAAACCTCATTAAAATAAAAATATTCACAAAAATAGGTTTGTTATATCCAAAAATTCTTTATAAGCTTACATGCCAAACAATGACTGTTGCAAGACTATTCTTCATTCACTTCATTATAACGGATACTTTGTTATATCCGGGTTCGAAATATCGAACTTCAAGTGCAACCTGTACAAATGTGTACACAAAGGGTACGCGACATGTATTAAACACAAATGACGACTAGTTCTTGAATGCTGTTGAATAATAAAAGGTAGTCGTAGACTGCACCTTTTGCATACGATCCTGAAATACGTGCCAGCTGGGTTCGATGACATCAACGGTGACGAAATACTGCAGGTTCTTCACGAAGTGCATCATTCGCTGGCGCAGCCCGAATGCCACTACCAAGTACGAAGCTGACCGCCGCTTTGTTGCTTTGTCGTGCACCCAGACTCTAGAAGAGAGCATATTGACTGACTATAATGCCAATGAAACAGCAAACAAATTACGGCAAGAAAATGCTACCTAATTGGATTAATAAAGAAAAAATCACTGCCCGAGCACTGCATACAGATGGTTATACATGGAAGCTGAAACGTCAAACAGTGTTACGGGTACAAGAATATACAAAAGTTTAAAATGACAAATCTAATGAAACTGTATTTGATTCAGTATACAAATCAAATAGTACATATACGAAAAAATTGTGGACCATCTCCCTGCAGGGAGACCCTGATGGAATGCAAGCAGCAGCGGTGCGCACAGCATTGACCCGGTTGAAACGGGCATCCACACGGGTGCTGGAAGAATGGTTTGACGCTAAATTGTATAGCATTAACTCAAGTGAATGTTTGAAACGCAAAGACACAGGAGGCGAGCTGGGTTTCCAGCCAGTTTCATAGCAGAAAGACTATTCGAATGTTGCGAGCAGTGGAGAGGGTGAAGCAAGAGAGATGATACGTGGCGAGCAGTGACAGGCTAGACAGAGTGAAGTCAACGCACGCGCAGTGCGAGGGAAGACGTAACCTACTTGGCATTGCCCTAACACCTTTGACTAGAGGAGCGTGGGGCAGATGGGGGACAGCATTGCACCGGCTAGTCAAAGAGGTGCTTCGTGTTTAGTATATTTAAATACAGATTATTTATTGAATAGCTTTCCAATAATCAGCATTGAACGAATAACCTAAAGATAACAAAACAGCTAATATTAATCTTTCTCTTAATTCTTATATCGTCCGCCCGCAGCCCAAGCTTTTACGAGAGTATTGACGTTATAGTAATTTCTGAATGAGCGTGATGAGCGTGTTTGTTCAGAAAACTCCACTTTAGCGTCCTTATTACTATGCTGAAGCCAGTTGCATTATCTGCTCTTAAGATCTTTTAATAACTGCTTGCAGCTTCATGATTAACAACAAATGCGAGCGTTGCGTTTGCGTAAATTCCTCTAGATGTAAATGTGAACGCAGATTGTTACGTGCTTTTCGTTGGCAGGCCACGTAGTGATGACAAATTGATCTGCTTCTTTACATCCTTAGCTGTATCCGAAGTGCTTTGGCTGGTAGCTCCAATTTACGATGAATTATTTCACAGCTGGCTTGCCGCGGATGTGGAGCGGGCTTAAAACCACATCCACGCCCTTCGAAAATTGTTTCCATTAGTCCTGCCTACCGCCGCTGCCTTCGCAGCTTGAGCATTCATTCCGTTTTGCCCGTTTCCCGAGCTTCCAAATTCGTACCGAGGTCTAGTTAGGCATGCAAAGCACTCAAAGGAAACAGTTTCTACCAGTCCAAACGTTGTTTTGGGAGATACGCCAGCAGAAACAACACGAGCGGGCTCACTGGCAGATGCAGCGAAGGATTCAGCCGGCAGTACAAAAGCGAGCAATACACGTTAGGGCATGCAGACATGCTGCAACCACACCTTCTACATCAGGTGTTCACAGCGATCCTAATCCCAACCAGGCTCTCTATAAACGCGTCCTTGTCCAGTCCGTGAGCTTTATCGTGCTGCACAGGTAGTTCGTGAATGCGCTGACGCGAGCCACCACCAACGCCTTTTTCGCTATGTTGAATTTACAGCCGAATGTTTATATCCTGTGCTTTGAAACGTAGTGCAGCCAGTGTAGCGCAAGCCATAAAGCAAATAGGCGATCTGCTATAGTATGGCAAAAAAATTGGTCTCGGTCGAATTTTTTCGCATCAGCCTCGCGGCGTAGTTTACAGGCCACTTGGACTGAAGCAGGGACAATTCCGGTGACTTTTGCTGCGTTTACTCTCTTCGAGACCCGATGTGAACGGGCACTTCCCACAGAAAATGCCGCGTTGCTCTGTTCGTGTGCAGCGGTCAATCGCTCGTTTGTATGATCCGCTGTAGCTGGAGAACCCGTTCGTACAACACAGAATCAAGGCGTATTTTGTATAATGTAGTCCATCTGAAGAATTTTAAATATTCGTAGCGCGAAATTTACATCAACCGTAAGTGTATCATAGAGATTCTACTATAATTTTATTGATAATGCTACAAATAATTATGCTTTGTGGATTCAGCAACATCACCACAGCATTTACAGCAGCCTACCATTAGTAATACACAGCTCACTTAATTGAGTTTTATTGTGATAGCATTAAAAAGCTCATTTCACAGAAATTCCGACCTCGTTGTCAGCATTAATAGTGAGCGAAAAATCATCTTTGTGTGACCTAAAGATCGAGCATCTTTGCATGACCGAAAAATTGAGAAAGATGCAAATAAGTAAATAATAACTCTGGGTCTGAGTGGACATCGAACCCAGGACGTTTGCGTGGCAAGTGGGTCTTCTACGGCACAGCCGCACCTCTGCTTGTGAATACAGTGAAAATAACTCTCTGCTTGGAAATGCTGCAAGAGTAACTTTCATGCTTTACAAACACACATCGTGTATACACTCATCACAATAAAACATAAAATTTTGCCTTAATAATGCGTGGTACAAACGTACATTGCCATCCGGCATCAGAACATGAAATTATCATAATGACTTCATAGCTTAAAGCCAGTCAGCCACAACAAAAGGCGCATGCACTACTACACCCTTAAGGCCACAAAGTGGGTGTACAGCAAGCTCAAAAAGATTTTATACACTAAGTGTTTGAAGTGCGCACTAGACACTGAACATTGCTATCGTGTTCAACACTTAAAGGCCAAGCACAAGGGGCCCCCAATTTTTACCTTGATTTCTCGACTAGCGGAGCATTGTTATTGATTTTATTGATGATTTAGACCTTTTCACACACTGACCTCTCACTTTGACATGAACTGTTATTTTGCTTTAGCGTCCCTTTAAATTTTTGTTGTACTCATTAAGCCTAAAATTCTTTGTAACTACAGAATCATCAATCTTCCCATTGGCTGCAAGATAACCTCGGTTTTGCGCATATATATGATCACGTGAACGTCCCTTTTCCTGCCTTATGATGTGCCACTATAGATATATAAACAATCTTCCAGAAAACATAGCTATCGTCCATGATACTGACATTTTTAAGAGGCTGCTTGAAATTCTGCCCTTTGAGCACTAGAACTGTGTATCAACTATGTAATGCAGCCTGTTTCCAATTCTTGAACTTCCTACGTTGCCCTGATCATTGTTTAACACTCAATGCCCATTTATTTTCTTGCTTTCATTGTATATCAAACATCTAGCAGTTGTATTCAATGCTAATTTAACTCCGTTTTCATTGCATAATGTAATTTCCGTTTCAGTTTGTTTCAATTTGTTTAACCAAGACTTGGTGTAAAGACATTTACTTCTTCACTTTCCTTTTAAGGGGAGATGCTACACTTGCCAAAAACTCATTTTTTTGAATACCTCAGTCAAATTTGGAAAGCTTGTGTAGATTCTACTGCTTACTTAGTCAATAAGTCAATAACTATGCCGACGCCGATGCGAGAAAAATGGTCTCCCGACTTCCACGTGCCGTCGTAGCTAACGGCAATATTGTCCCGGTGGTCGAAGCACAAGTCATCATACATTCTAGCAACCTTCTCCGCACATTCACTCATAGCGGGCTCAGCCGCTTGCATTGCAGTGGGGGCCAATATATTCTTCGAATGCCACTAAAACATCTAGTGGTGCATACCGCTGTGCGAGATGCCCATTGTCGCGAAAATATTCCTTTTCGTTTGGTTGTTGCCGGTAGCCAGCATCGCCCTCAAGGCATGAAAATTGACTTCAAACAGAATGCACATTTTCGTGGCACTCGCGCGGGCCGAAGTCCACTCATTGGTGATCTTGGGGCTCCTTTCACACTGCACTAACACTTCCACAGTCAGTCCATAGTCCCAATCGCTTCTGACGATCGTAACTGGTCCGTGGCAAGTTTTGCAGCACAAGGCACCAATTATTGCGTTTAGCATATCTAGATGCATAAGCAGATAAGGAGTGCTGTTGTCAGAGTTCTGTGTGGTTGCCTCGCTACAACTTGCACTGAAAATCAATTTTCAGTGCTATTGCTGGTTTCTACGAAAGCCACTCGAGCGTTGCTTTCTCACAGGCACAATTTTGTTTGACTTCGGCGTCTGTCACCACCTTGGCGTCGATTCGTAGTCGCCCGGAGTTCGCTTCACTGTTATTGTCGTCGGAGGCAACGCGCTCAGTCACACCATGGCTGAACGGCCACAGAGCATCGACACATCGTTTGTCGGAGTCAACCATGGGCTTTGATGACTTCGTAGACTTTCTTCCGCTACCTTTGCGTTTCCTGCGACCAAATGCGTGCATGGTGCGATACTTCTTTTGGCATGCCGATATGATTAAAAGCTTCTCAAGGCTCTGCCGTTTCGAGGCGTCATAGCGGTAACCGTTTCAAAATGGCATCGGGTCGCGTATGCAGACATAAGCCACCAGCTTCCAGCCATTTAATCACGCGCCATTTTAGTCACGTGCCCCATTAAACCAATGGCAGTGAGCGCGGCTCTTTGTCTTTGAGGCCCTGTTTTTTTAGCCAGAGTAATGCTCAATGTTGCTTACTGAATAAAAAAGAACAGCTGAACAAATGCTCTTTAAACAAGACCAAAATGGCACTGATCGAGCGTATAGTTGCGTCTGCCGGGGCGGAGTTTGCGACGCCGACGCAAAAGTGGGAACCGCCACTAGGATGTTCGCCGTTTTTGGCAGAGTGAGTGCTGGCACTCCGGCAAAGCGAAAGAGCGCGAATGCGCCCACACATAAAGAACAGCTGAACAAATGCTCTTTAAACAAGACCAAAATGGCACTGATCGAGCGTATAGTTGCCACGTATCATAGAGCCGAAATCTGCACTACTTGCACTGAATTTGAAGAGCATGACGCCTGTCCTCAGTTTTTTTTAAAGCTGAATAACGCTAAAAGTTGATGATCTGCCAGGAGGTATAACCACGTGATTTACGAACTTATTCAGCACAAGTTATGGTAACCACTCTTGGAGTTAGGGTGGG